TGGCTGCTTAAATATTCTAACTGCTCTGGAGGAGACAGTTGTTGGCAGCTCAGCGCCAGGAAGCAACCCTTGGTCAAACTCATTTACATCGATGACATTTTCCTACACTTCAAGAAATAAATGGTCCTGAAAACTCACAGGTGCTTAGTACTGTGCTAACAACTGCATCAGGCAATGACAATTCCCCTGTTCATTGAGGTCTCAGGTTTAAAGGGAACAGCAAGCTGTCCCAGAGCGAGCTGCATGTTCACCACGCTGACATACCACCACCTTTCAGCCCAATTCTGCCCATCCTCCAACCCAGAAGTTTCGTGCATTTGGAGCAGGTATCCCCCCAGGCAGCCAGGACAGCAAGCACAGCTACCCACTTTCTCTGCTTAATGGCAGGAGCATCATGCTCCACCAACAATGTCCAACCTGATGCTTACAGTATTTTGGGCTGGGTTGGAGTTTCTCTTCTGCAGCCTCCTGCACAATGCTTCCTACACAGCACACGTCAGTGGCAAAGTCAGTGTCAGCAGGAGCAGTACAGTAACTCAGATGTACTCAAAGTTCCAAATTCAGACCTGGATTATGACCTTCCTCTCAATGGACACCAGTTACTCACAGAAGGAAACACTGCACTACAACCCAGGCTTCAGTGTCAGCGATTAATGTAAGTGACAGCAGAGACACCAATGTGTTGCTTGTTGTTGAATTTTGCCATTCTTTTTCATTGTCCCCAGGTGTTGAATTACACTGCACATAAAGCTCTGTGAGCATGTATATATTTATGCTATAACATATGGATGAATTTCAAAAGGAACAGTTTTATGATGCATATTCTACATAACATCTCTGCACGTCTCAGAGAGCAGCCACAGGATAATTTCTTTCCTGTACAAGGATCCTTTTTATTTTAAGGCTGAGGTGACATTTCTATTTTATTCTTTACAGAAATACAATGAATGGGTTGACCTTTTATTTATGAGTAGTGGTACTTATGAATAAAAATTACTAGAGATATAGGGCAGGAAATACATACAAGTACGAACCTTGGATTTACTTGTGAAAAAGATCTTCAGAAATACCTGCAGTCATTTTGCACGTCTGATCATCCTTTAATTTTGTGCTCTTTTCAGAGGCGCTTCACTGCACCTCTTCTCCTAGATCTTCAGCTTGCTCACATATTTTTTCAAAGATCAACACACATTTAGACAGTTGCTTCCCAGTTTTAAATCTGACAATATTGAAATCTACGCAAGATAATCTACAGATGTAACACATAGATCTATACACCTCTGCTCTGAAAGCTGCTTTTCTTTCACATAGGTATTCAGATCAAAAGTTTGAGATCAATCCAGCAGAGCTGAGGGGCACAGGATGGGCTTTCTTTAACAGGGCAGCCAAGTAGATTAGAGTTTAGCTCACATCCAGCTATCTTTAGTTTAGCTTATACACGTAAACTCTCTGGGACTGGACAGAATACTCCACGAAATTAAAACTGAGCAATGGATCCATCACACAAAAAAAGAGGTTGTTCATCTCCTCATTAGTGTCTCAGGAGTGTACTCTATCATATGGCACATTACTGATTTAATGCCTATTTAAAAAAAAACAAAACAACACACACAGATTTGTGAAGTCTTTAGTATAGTATAAAGACGCTACTCCACATCACACTTTGGGATCTCACAGAAGAGCAGGAGATCCTTAAAACCCAAGTCCCCGCTGTGACAAAAACCAGCTCTGGCACTGCAAAAACACCACACTCACAAATATCCTTAAATAGCCAGCAAGCAGGGAAACTTTGCTGTCTGCAAATTGCGTTATTTCCGTACTTGCACCATAATCCTAGTCTTCAGTGCAATGTTTAGTCTTTACGCTATACTGTTTCAAGTAATGGTTATAAATAAAATAGATACCATCACTCACACACAATAAATCTGCATTTTTTTGCCCATCTCTTTCCATCATTTATAACATAGCAGGTGCCTGCTGACATTTGGCCTTTTGAGGATTTTGGTAAGAGACAGCACTATTTATCAATTTAATCAGTGGAGAGTTTTCTTGTATGTGTGCTTTTGAGAGGCTTTTCTGTTTGTTTGGTTGGTTGTTTTTCCAAACATGGGCTTTATTCAAAGTTTGAGATACCAAAGTACAGCTTGCAACACAGAAATTTCATAAACACTAACCATGAGCAAGGTCTTAAAGGGGAAAGATCCCAAATATATCACTTTCATAGTAAGAAGAGGCAATCTTTATAATTTTGTCCTCGTGCCATAGAACACACAAGTCAAGAGCACAACCCACATCCACAGCTTTGCATTCAGTATCGAGACATGCCTTTGTCATTCACATCGTGAAAATTAAAAGGGGGTGCAACCCTTTCACAGGCAGCTTTGAGACAGCCATTGACCACTCGTCCCTTTTTCTCCCCTAAGGGGGTAGGGACAAAAGAAGGAAGGCTATTCTTTCAGTGGTGTTCACAAGCTATGATCTACACCCCACATCCAGGGTTTGCTGAGCAGATCTGGCCAGGGTCTGTTTTTTCCCATTGGAGATCAGAAGCAAGCCAAGCTTTTATTTCACACATGCGAAGACTCTCTCCCATGCGACAACAACAGAATCCAGAACAGTCAGTTACCTAGAAATCTAGCTACTTGTCTGAAATCATGGAGCATTCAAGTCCTTACCCAGATCAGGCACTTGAATTTACACCTCCTGGAGCTGCTCCGTGCACTATCCCATCAGCTGAAACACTGCTGATCCAAGGTAGTCTTTCCTCTCAATGCCATTCTGCTTTGAATAATTAAACCTACACCAAACCAAGGACTTGAATCTTACACCAGGGTCACAACAACTGATTAGTTGGCTTCCCCTTATTTTTGTCCCAGTAGCTGCTTCTTTGGAGAACAGCATCATCATTAGATGCAACTGACAGAAGCTGACTGTAGAAAAGCCAGCTGTATGCTGATCAGGGCAGGAACAGGTTTTGCCTAACCAGAGACTTAAAAACTGGTCATCTATGCTCCATCTGAGTTTGGTAAATACCAGACTACTCATTGTCTGGGGAATAGGATTTAAATTACTCACGAGGTTAAAGAAGGACTGACGGATGCATTGGCCACCTCTGCAGTGCTGGTCATTCTCCTTGGAGACTGAAGGAAATCATCTCTTCTATTATTACAGTATTCCAAAATAGTCCTCTAAAACATAAAGGATACTTAAGCCAATTCTCTATTGCAGAAAAAGCAGTATAAGAGGCTTCTAATTCCATAGGAGAATGAAGATGTACAGAGACGCTCAAAAATCAATGGTTTGTAAAGAATTCTCATACCAGAGGATGGAAACTACCAAACAGACCCTTAGTGAGTTAATAACTCAACATTTAGCCAAAACTTGGCTTCATTACTTGCTTAGGACTAAGCAATATAGAATACCCTGAGTTGGAAGTGATCCATGAGGATCATCAAGTCCAAATCCTGACTCCACACAGGGCGACCTGAAAGTTAAATTATATATCTAAGAGTGTGTGTAGGCCATTAAGCTACATAGCTTCTCCCTTCGAATCAACCCTGGGCAGTGAGGGGAGGTTCCTCTGGAAAATATAATCATTTCTGAGGCATATATGAATGAAGATCAAACATTTGTTGCACAGGTTTAACGCTGTATCTTACACATCCTTTTATTTGGGGGCTTACTTAAAAATCACAAGTCAAACTATAGACACACTACAAAAAATTACTCCTGACTACAAACCATGCAACTGATCACCTCCTTCCTTGACCCTACATTCCAATCAGTGCTTATACTCCTACCTTTTGGTAAGCAAACGAATTACAGCAACCTAAATAGTTCAGGAGAAATTAACCATGTGTTGAACTCACCAAAGCTCTGGTAAAGACATTTAAATTTCTTATTTCATCCATGAGAAGAAAACTGAAACAGATTTTTACACTAATAATCTCCGACATGTTTCTATTTCTTCCAAGAGCTCTTCTTCAGGATCTGACTATAGGGCTGATACTCTGACACAAAAGTCCACACTTCCAAAATGAACTACACTTTTTTTTTTTTTTTGAACCATCTTTTTAATGAGGGTAAAAGTGATTCAGCTTCAACACATACATCGACATGCCACTAAACAAGTTTTAAATGGAACTCAGCATGACAGCATGGTCAATAAAGAATGGAGTTCAATTTTGGTTTAAATCTTATTCCCTTTAAAATTCAGATGAACAAGGGAACTGCATACTACACAGTCAATATTTAAAACGTAGATTCTATCACTCTTCTAAAACTGTATACAGGCTTTCACTGAACTCACACAATGATGCTCAGTCCACTTCTGAAGAGGAAATTAAGCTACAGAAAAGAGCAATTATAATGATTCCACAGCACAATTTTTTGTCACTAGGTACTGCTGTTGTTCAGTAAGTCCTGATTCTAATTCAAAGTACAACGGCAAGTATGAACCCGAAGCTGAGAATTTAGCATGTTGTATACATTAGTGGATTGTAGCTTCTGTAAATTATTTTCCCTATTAGCTCAGTGCTAGCATGTTTCTTCTTAAAAGGTCTAAGAGTACTGCAAAAAGTTTATTATGTAATAAACAATAATAAAAAAAATCTGAAACTTTACATCCTGAAAACAAAAGGCAAACCTGAAAACTTCAGTGGAGTCAGTGATGCTCTGACAAATTGATTTCTAGGACAAATACGCAGTCAAGCAATTTTGCTTTGCTCAGGATCACTTGGGGTGTCTACCGCAGAGCAGGAAATAGTAAGATCACCTTAGTATCAATCCAAAACTTCAGTCAAAAAAACATTATTCCTATTCTCTGGCATTATTGCTTTGGAACAGGGGAGACTGGCAGAGGGACAAAAAGCCAGTGATAGGAAAGGAACAGTACCAATTTCTATTGTAAATGACATTCTGCATTGTTGAATTAGGAAAATAAAGTCTCACAAAGAAATCATATTAGTGTACAGTATTTATTACCTTCTATTAATCTGAAGTCAATCATTTTGATATGACAAAATTAATTCTGAAATAAACAGACATTTTTAAATACATATGAAGATAAGAGGCTTTAACATGAGAGTATTTAGTTGATCTGCACTCTTAATCCACATGCAAGATACTTCAATCAAATATTGTACATTTCCTTTCATTTTACAGTGGTCCACAACGAAGCACAATTTCTGAGGGTGAAAACAAGGAGGAAAAAAATCATATTTGCAAGCCCTTTTAGTAAAAAAGAGCATCAACTATATATTAAGCCAGTATGTTTCTCTCTGATTTTGATTTTACTTACAGTATACAGTTTTGCAAAATATACAGCTTACCAATGATACACAAACAGTGGCCCTTTACTAAGGGCAAGTAACAAAAACAAACTAACAAACAAAGAAATAGAACAGAAAATAATTCTACAGATTAGAAAAGTCATATTTTAGAACATTATGCCACTTAGAGTGTCTCCAATGTTGGTAAGAAAGATCATGCACAACGTGTTTTAAGAGAATGTTGTCATTAGTCCATGAGAGATTTGTCTGCATGCTTCACATGAACAGAAAAAAGTACAAGTCACAAGGAAAGTCGCTTTCTCCAGTTATCTTTTAGGTCTGTCTATGTCATCAATAGCAGCTAGCAGCTTCTGTCTTGCCTTTTTGTTGATGTGGGAGCCCAGACAAACATTCACCAGATTGGTCAACTGCTTAGTGGAATATTCCTGACAAATAAAAGCAGATCATGTTATGGCAGAATAAATCACCAGACAAAGATAGAAAATTAAAAAATGCAGACATATGCACTGTGGACTTTTCAACTGATAGAAGCAGTCAGTACGTAAGGGAGATTTAAAGTGGTAGTTAAGTCAGGTCTGGATAGTTTTCATAGCTGAGGCAGAGGACAAAACTGTATTTTGCTACATGGCAGATTATAATGGAAAATGCTTACGACTTTAGTAATGTTGGACTGAGTTCACAGAAAGTAATTCTGTGAATACATATGTACATAAATCAATTTTTAATATATTTTCCGTTCTTTGGGAGGTGTGGTGGGAAATATATGCAGATGGGATAAGCTTTTAGAAAAAAGTTTTTGTGATAAACAAACTGTGACAAAAGTTGATGATATTTTTTATTTTGACTTCTCATTTCCAATAAGCTTCTAAATACTTCTGTCTACAGGGTCTCCAAACAAAGTTTATTTCTGTACATGATAAAGGAGGAAAAAAATGGCAAAAATGTTAAGACAAGAATTCTTAACACCTGTCAAAACACCAGATTTGCCAGTACTATCATTATACCTAACACTATCCAAAAATATATCTTCCACCAGTAGGTTTAAACAAGAGTTTTTCCATGTAGGTCACCAAACAACAACTCACAATCTTTCTTGTGGCTCCAGGTAAAACAAGGAAAATAATATTAAAGACATATTTCTTTCATCCATTTCTAGTGGGATTTAAAGTAATCCCAAAATACAGATTTCAAAGTGCTCCATTTTAAAAGACGCTTCATTTCAGCAATAGGCAGCTCCAATAGCACGTGACTATTACTTATGTAGTCCTGTTATGATTGTCAGGTTATGGTATCATGAAAGCATGCTAAATGCTTTCAAAACACAAAGGAAGACTTAGCTCAGAAAGCAGTGTTGATCCTGATTCAGTATGATTAAATGAAGGAAGAAAAAGCAATGACTGTTAGCAATTACAACTCAGTTTAAGCAACCTACTCCTAAAGACAACGCAAAACTTCATGGTGTGATTTCAAACCATACTTCTTGATGATCGAGTTGTGCACTTTGGCATATTCCAAGCAGCATACAAATGTTTTCAACTTCATTTCGCTCTAGTTCTCTACGTTTTTTGATACAGTAGGTAGATGTGACTGGCTTATTCATCCTTTCCAGTCATCAGATGTTGAATCAGTACAAACACATTCTAACTTCATATAACAATAAATACAATGAACGTATGCATGGACACACATTCATATTTATACTGCTTCCCATACAGATTTTATTATAATAAATTAATATATAAATATATATGCATATATTCATTTTTAACACATAGAAGCATTGATCATTTGTAGCCGTTAGCATGATTCTATCATCATGGTGAATTTTCCCAAGAAACAGTAAAAGAATGCAAATTTAACTCTTACCCTATGTTCTTTTATCCAGCGTTCCATGTCATTTTCTGTTAGGTAGTACGCTTTAATGTAGGTCTCCACAAATTCTTTATCTGGAATAGGCCTAATGTCTGTTAACTTTTCCAGTTTCATTAAGAATTGTTGAAAGTCCAGCTGCATCAAGGCACGACCTTCATTGCTGCACTTCTTTACATTGGCATAACTGAAAAGAGAAACACAGTGGAAAGTAGAACTTAGGAGGAAATAAAAATGAATCTTACTTCTCAAAGTGTTTTAACTTAGTCCTTCAAACCTTGTGGAGGAACATAATTATGGTTTTAAGTTAAAAGCAGACAAGAACTCCTCATAGGATGTCTGATGCAGAATTTAATTTGCATTAGTATTGTATGTTTTAGCCCCATTCATAGAACAGAACCTCACTGCACTCAGTGATTCTTAGAAAAACCCACCACCCCCCTGCCAAACGCCACTAAAAATCCTACATTGAACAACTTACTAGAAGTGGGTTAAAGGAAATTAAACCAATGCTGACCAGCACACTAGACAGTGGCTTTAGTGATCATGACCACTGAAGTCTTGAAAGGTAACACGGCAGCTTTAGGAACGGTCACCAGAAGCTTGCTGAACCAATAATGGCAGCATCAGAGAAAGGCACAAAGCTGTTTGTTCAAAAACACCCACAACCACCAGAGGATAAAGTGTGGCAGCACTGACTCATTTCTGTGAGAGGTTAATGTTTTAATGAGAGTAGACTGACAGAAAACTGGTGACAGGTTTGAGCTTAAAGAAGAGACGGTAGATGAGCTTAGGACAGGGTAATACCAGGAAGGATTACAGTGGGGTGATAGGCAACAAATGAAGAAAACTATCTCTGCAGTTTTTCAAATAGGTAAGAAATTGCATTTGTCAAGATCAAAGCAAATGACACTGCAAAGCCCTTAACTGCCAATTTCAGCCATGTACAGGGAATAAAAAAAGCTTTGGTCTGGGGCACGGTGTCTTGACAGACTTAATCCAACCCACCCCATACACTGCTTCCACAAGTGACAATCCTGTCCCACTGTTTCCACTCTTCCCTTGTACCAAATTTAAAGCAAGCTCAGTCTTCCACTGGTTCGTGAAGTTGATCCTAGTTATTATATCATGTCTAGATTGTTAGGTCTTATGTAAAGGAGCTAGCAGAAACATGCAGCTGGAAACTGGATAGAGCAAGATCAGGTTAAGAATAAGAAGAAATTGCAACCTTACAGTTAGTATACAGAAAGAATCTGCAGGATGCAGAAACAACAGAGGCAAAAAGAGATGGGACCAAGGCACAAGCCCGCTGGAGCTCTGTAGAAGATTGGACAATGATTCTCAATAGCACATACTGAAGCACTTCATGAAGCCAGATGGGAAACAGGAGAGAACACAGAACTAGGAGATAGTGTAGGGCAAAATTTAAAGAAGGATACGGCTGACTGTACTGGAGATGATTCGTCACTCGGCAAAGAGCCTGACGAGAGTAACTTCAGTTAACTGGCTGACTTGAGAAGAAACGCCTCCTTCTTGGCTTTTAATTCCATAGCTTCATGGAATTCAGAAATGAAAGAAGTTACGAAGGTATTCAGAGAGTCAGCTGTTCAGAACACCTTCCTTCCCTTTCTCTAGTGACAAAAGAAACCTCAAGATATGTTAGAAAAAAAGAACTGGGCAAGGATGAGAAATTACAGGTAGATTTTTGGGAGGAGATGATAATCAGCACTCTTTACACTCTAAGAAAGGGCACAGGACAAATCACATCAGCAAGGTATTCGCAGTCCGCTCTGACCAGTCAGTGAAATGCTTTTGTGAAAGTAAAGGTGGAAGTTTCACGATAAGTCACAGGCATGAACCCAAACTGCAGTGGGGAGCAAGACATATGAGTGATGATGTTCAGAGCTAAGAATTAAGTGTTTCGTGAACACTGAAGTCACAGAAGATGAGTAAGATTGTGAAGTAAGAAAAAGAAATAAGTTCAAAACAGTCACAAAGGCTGAGGCAGGGGAGGTTGATAGTGACTGATGGTGTTATCCACTTGAAAGGAAAGGGGGATGGGGAGAAGAAAGATGCTTTTGTTCCAGTTCTTTTCATTTGAGGCCTAAGTGGAAAATAGAATTTCAAAATGAAAAGATAGTTGCATAGGTCGTATGTCACATGAAGGAACTGAGAAGTCAGAGGGAGGTCATGGCTGGATTTACTCTCCCTGAAGATTAAACTGATCTCTCAAGAGGTTGCAAAAGGATGATAGCATGAAAAGGAATGGGCTTGAAAAGGAACAGGCATGAGTTTAAAAATTATGCCTTGATGGAAGCAGTGGAAGCTAATAATCCTCAATAGTCAGCTAACACTTGGAGAAGAAGGATGTTGTTGAGGTCCTAAATTAGAGCAGACAGCAGGAGAGTGGGATGGAAAGAAGTAAAATAGGTAGTAGGGAGTGCATAGAGTAAAGATAACCAGGAAAGAAATATGGAAACACATGTAGGAGTGGAAGACAGCACATATTCTATGATGCAGAAGAAGTTGTGATGAGCCCAGACATATATAGCAAGGGGACATGAACACAAAAATAAATGTAGTGGATGAAAAGACTACAATACTCAGGCTACAATACTGACTCTGAAAAGACTGGGACAGTGATTAACAGGGAGGGATGAGCAAGGTGTAGCAGTTCCTGACTAAGGCACTTGAGCCTCTATTGGCTAAGCCAACTAATACAATTCTCTGTTCCTGATGAATTTGGAAAAATCCTGCTCCATGGCTACTCAAAGGTAACCGCTAGGGTTGACAACTCCATCTTTCTTCCTGGCAAAGACAAATGGCATGAGCAGAGAGATGCTGACAATTACACTTTAACTTTCTTCTTTGCTCTGTTGGGAAATGACAATTTTCAGATAGAAGTTTCTTTGAAAAGAGTTTGCTGTGTGTTGTTGCGGATGCTTCAGTGAAACACTCCATGTCATTCTTCAGCCATATCTAGGTACAAGACCATCCCCTTTAGGCTTAATGCTGTATCAGACTGTGTGAAACAACTGCTAAGGACTATGTTAAGCCTTGATAATTTTTAGGCTCCCCAAAAGTACAAGACCTTACCAGTGCACTACAAAATTAGAACTTTTAATTCCATGAAATAGATGTTATCATTACAGGCATATTTACCCAAAAGCAAGACTTTAATGGACTACTTACCCTTCCACAAGAGTTCTATTGGCCAAGCGTATGCAGTGCTCCCAAAGGATGTTGGAGACTGGCAGTGGAATACGGACTCTCTTAGACACCTCGTTCAACCTTCTGTTAAATTCTTCAAATTCCTGAAGAAACATGAAAAATCATTATTCCTTTAGCAGAAAAGGGATCATACTCTATACATCTCTAGCAACAACAACAAAGAATTAGAAAAGCACATGAAAGAGAATACTGAAAAATAAGAGCAAAGCAGAGAAGCTTAATAGGCACAGACTGTAGAAACAAGTTTAATGTGTAAAGTAGAAAGCATACCACTTTCTAGCATATCATTCACAACGTTACTTCAGTAATTTTTTACAAAAAGGAGAACTGACACCTTTGAAAATTAATCAAGTAGTTAATCCTTCAAATGCCATTTTCATTGCCTCACTCCCTAAACTCATCTTTAACTATTTTAAAGTCAATATAGAGCCACTGAAGAAAATCCAGTGATGATATCTTTATCCCTCTAAATACCTGCCCCACCAGCTTCCAAAGAGAAGCTCAGAAATATTGTAACCACTTTCCATTCTTCAACCTTTCGCATTAGATAGTTCCCTGGTGCTTGAAAAGGAGTTGAGAGCACCCACCGAAAAGAGTCCAAATCTAACAGGTTAGGAGCATACTGCAACACTAGGTAACAATTCAGGTTGAGGGAAGGTATCTGTTTCCACCTGAAACATCAATGGCCTGGATGGATTTGAGCCATCACTATGAGTGACAAACTAGTTGTAACTGAACATAATTACTGCTACAATGATACTGTGATTTACTGTGGTGGCACAGCCCAGGTTAACCTCTGTGTGTGTGCAATTTGACTCAGAACTGTCTCTGTCTGTGTGTGTGTGCGCAATTTGGTTTAGAACTGTTTGTCTATCTGTGTGTGTGTGCGTGTGATGTGAGTCAACCTCCCTCTGTGTGTGCAACCATGCTGTAAGTTTCGGGTGACCTTGCCACTCCAGAATCTTTAACAAAGTTGCCATCTTCATTGTGACAAATTCCATTGAAACTCTCCGTTAAGAATTACACATCCTAATCTTGTGCAAAATATTAATAAATCCTAAATTGCTCCTAAACCAAAACCTTGTAAAAAATCATATTCACAACAGCGATATAAAGAATTGATTGAACACATATAATCCTTTAGACATAAACCACTGACCAAGTCTGGGACTAGGAGTGGATCCAGCTGCACCTAGACTCTTCTGTGAGAAGCATTTTAGAAAGCAAGGGTTCTACTCCGAACCTTGTGACTCAACAGCAGAGCCTCCCTGGCAGTTCTCCTTCTGACCCTGTCCTCTATACAGCAAATAATCAGTCTTGTTAAGTCACTGTCGCATTTATTATCAAACTCTGAACTGCTGTTTTAAACATATTGCTACTTCTCTCTGACGAGTGAAGTGCATCACTCCATCTGCGACACTTACATAAAGTGAAACCAACGTCTGCTGTCAGTGACTAACACCTCTATCATTTAAAAAAAGTATCAAATGACTGAAATATAAAGCAGACTGATAATGAACTGTTCTGTGTAACCAGCAAAAGCAGTTTGTACTGCAGTCTATCAAGACCATACTTGTCCATCAAATGTGCTTTCATTCCAAGGCTATTAATTTAGGTATTTTTTTTCCTCTTTTTTCCCCCCATCAAAAATTCAGTAAGTGAAGAAAATCAGAAGGGGATCTCAGTAACCAATTTAACCTAGTATCTGTTGAAATTGGTGTTTAACACAAATTTTCTGAAAGAGGACTTTGGCAAGAGGAAGCAGGGTACCACAATGTCATGCTTTAACCAGCGTACAACTCACTCTTCAGAAGATGAAGATGTCTAACACTCTATGATAATGAACTTCTTGAACAATCCTCTCTCCCCACTTTATCTGCTTCCATACATACTATGACTGAGTATAGAATTTTGCATATGTGTGCTCATGGCCAAAAGTAGTTGGTTATTACATTAAACATTTGTGCTTACATGTGACACCCCTGGAGTCCTAGGATACACGGCAAATCACTAATTGCTTAGCACTAATCTAAAAGCTTCTGTAGCAACTATTATTAGCTTTATAATGTAGAGGTCAGAAATGTTTTAAATGGTATTAACCCTGATGGCAAATTCATCAGCAGTTGCACACCGAAAAAAGGAAAAAGTTCTACTGCAGAGACCAGATGTTTTAAGTACCAACTGATTTCAACAAGTCATGGCAGCATAAAGAAGGGTAATCATAAAGATTCAGCCAAATTCAGTGCAATGATATATCCTGTATCAGATTCTCCCTCCTTTGCGCTAATTTTTTTTTTTTTAAGCAGAGAATAGTTACAAAGTGCAAAGGCGTAATCAAAACTGTTATTCAACAAAGATGCATAACTCTTTCTGTGATACATACTTCATATATCTTTAAAATAAAATTTTCAGTTTCTCTGTAAGAATTAGTATAATTCTACCACTGCCAGAACTTCCTTTTAAAGACCTTCAGAAACATCATTTAGGCATATAAAAAAAGATGAGAGAGGGATTCTCCCAAGAACTGGTTCTGTATGCCATAAGACACAGCAGTTGTATAACCACTTCTACCAAACGCAACTGAAGTTGGGTGAACAACTTCCCTTTACCTTTCTTTTCAAATGCTAACTTCTAAATATAGCAAATGCAATTAGATAATATGCAATCATTATCGGTGCTGGTTTGACCAATAGCCCCTACGATACCTCTCAAAGATAATAATTAAAATTATGCAGAACAGCAAATAGCCTTTGTTAAAAACCCCCACTACCTCAGGGCACTGGATTTTCCTTAGTGTTACTCCATTTACTACACATTTATCTACCACTCAAGACTTAGATCTGAAACTCATTAAACTTTTGTGGTCACTTTCACTCACCATGTAGTCAAAAAATCATCACTGAAAACAAATCTGCTAGCAGCAAGAATAATGAAAACTCTGGACAGACCTTCTTAAAATAACATACAATTTTTCAGGATGCTGTATTGCTCTAACCATGCTACTTTAACAGTTTTAGTGAAGTGTTACAGTAATTTAATGTTTATATAAACTCTAGCACATCGTTTCCCAGAAAGTATTCACCTTTAAAAGAGCATCTACGTATATATTGTGTTGTGACATGATTTCCTTCACATCCCATTTCACATTAGCCATGAGAAGCAGCATTTGTTCATAATCAATGGCTTTCGCAGCAACAATCCAATAAACTGGTTTACGTAGTTCACTGGCAGTTGACACTGTCTGAAACAGAATAAAAATAAAATTTAATTCAGTAGATTTCTCGCTAATAAGAGCAATATATAACTGTGATGTACAAGTATTTACACCATATTATGTAAGTTTCAAATCTTCTGTTTAAAAATCATCTATGAATTCCACAATTCTGACCTGAGAATAGAATTGCTGAAGAAAAGGCTTCTTGGCAGCTGGCATCACTGCATCAAGATGAGGCTGAAGAAACTCAAACTGCTCAGCCAGAAATACCCTTTGAAAGCAAAGAAAATTTACTGTGAACTAAATGCAACATTTGGCATGTCTCTCTACAACTTTTACTCTACAGTTGACATATTTGGCAACAGTGATATGTAACCTTGGAAAAATTAGTCCTGAGAAGAACCATATCAGTTTCATGCCAGCATATCAGCAAGTATCCTCAATTCTGACAATTGTAAAATATGATTGCAAACAAGAAAATGCTTGAATAAAGAGACTAAGGCTTGAATACCAACAATTCCTATTTCTATTTTACCCAGGATACACTGCAAAAGTTTGATCCAAAGTCTAGTAAAGTCAGTGGACAAGTGTCTCATAATTGCGATACTGCAGGGCAGTCAACATTAATGTTAATAAATCCATGTCAGAATTCCAAAATAACATTCCTGATTACTTATATACTAGTGAATCTTTAAAAGATAGAACATGAGACCAAATTCTTTCTCAGGGGTAGGATTTGTTAATAACAACATAACAAAGAAATACATTTCTAACTAAGCGTAAATGAATGCAAAAGAAAATGAGCTCCTTTGAAAATACATTTTTTAAATGAACTTCTAATCTTTAAGTGTCATCTTGTGTGGGGGAAAAAAATAATTCTTATCTGATTCTTACTATTATTCTGACCAAATAAAAACCACTTTAAGTTTTGTGTTATTTGCTCATTATAATCTCTTCTTCACAGGTACACTTCCATCCATTGCAATCCAAGCCAAACCAATATGAACTAAGCAGTTTTAAGTCTCAGTCATCACTATTTGAGTACTTAATATAAGGTTTAAACAAACCATACAGATTAAATACTCCCATCAGCCTCTTTAAAATTATGCATTTTTCCTGTTAGATTTGGCCTCATACTGTCACAAATTACTGGACCAGTTGCAGTAAAATTCCATCATTTGTGCTTGCTGGTGGTTAGACCAGATGGTTAGGCCCCACTACCTTTAATTATGTAAATACCTCTATCACTCATATTTAAAATCACATTGAGAGGTAGGAATTTTTGACCTCTCAAGAAGGTTTTGGCTTGTGATCACCATCTCTTAAACAATCCATAGCTTCTAGTGATCACAAAATGCAGTGTACAGTAAATAACCTACAAGGATTCCGTGGCCACCACTCTCTCTGCCAAACCGTACAGTGAATTGCCAGATGTTAAAACTACAAGATGACTGAGATGTGGGCTTGGCACCTTCTCCTTTCTCTCTTCAGCAGCTGTGAGAGTTCCTGTGGGATCAGCAGAGACCTCCTAAAACAAAGAATTAAACAAATGAAAAACCACAAAAACCAGCAAGAACGGTTTCAGCTGAGCAGTTTCAGATGACAGATAAGATGAAGGAATGTTTCTAATTCTAAGGTGTAAATTAAATCAAGCCTGAATCAAAAGACAACCATAGAGCTTTCTATTTTAACAGTGTGGTTTTTAAACAAGTGGGAAAAAAATCGTATCGTGTTGATCAGTATCTGTCTCGGGAGGGGGAAGGCAGAGAACAAACTTTTTACCACATCTTAACACCCATACAGGCTTTAGCCCAACTGCCTACTGGAAGACTGACTTCTCACCCTTGGAGATAGCATCTTGAATCTGACAGCAACCATACCAGGAGACAAATTAAAGGAATATTACTTATGCATGGGCTTAACTGCTTATGTGAGCTGTGGCTAACTTAAGTAAAGTACAAATGATGTTTTTAAACAAGTTATCATTTTATGAAAACTTCCATCATGCAGACATCTTGATTGTAGAAAACAAGGAAATATTCACAGCACAGAAAAAGAATCTGTAATAAGAAACAGGTTACACCAGTGCCCTGTTGCAAAACCAAGGAATCACAGAGGGAAGAAACTCCCAGAGCTATCCTATTGGTCTAAGTAGGTATATAAATGGACACCCTCTGAAGCTTAGCTATTTGCCAAAACCATATCAGGACATGAACACATAAACTTAGTTCTGGCTTTAGATTAATTACTCATACCATGCTAACTGCTCACACACAGGCTATAAAAATATGACAAATGTTACAAAACAAAGGTGATATAGAACTCGGAACAGATAAAGAAGGTCGGCATGATATGGCACTGATTTCTTAAGTAAAAGCCTTCCACGACCCTGGGGATAGAAACTCTGTGGTCAGACACATGCTACAACAAATCAGCCTGTTTGTATGGAATGAAAATAAATTTGAGCAGTAACACAGTGACAAAGTAGTGATAAAAATAATTTATTCAAAAGCAAGATCAGCTGCACAATATATCTGCTGTAAAGCAACGTATGAACACACAGCCAATATGACAACAATAATGATTAAACATTATATTTGTGGTTGGACACAAAAAACAAATTAGCATAATTCTCAGATTGCTGTAAAACTTGACAAAAATGAAGCCAAAAACATGGTAACAAATAAAGCAGCTTTGCAGTTTGTGGAGTTTTTTCTCCAGTTGGATAAAAATAAATTGAGAGGAAATTGCAGTGAAGTAACTAAAGAACTGGGAGCAGGAGGAAGAAAAATAGACTCAAGCTGACCACAACAGTCACCAGGAGTTTCTTCTAGGCTTCATAGCAAGAACAACTGTGAGGAATGACATGAAAAAGAATAATTGCCATTCACATTGTTTTCAGAGAGTTTTGCCTAAGAAGAAAAGGCACTAGAAACACTGATGGAACTAAGCGGTGATCTAACTCATTCTAAATATCAGGACTGAGGCAAGGAAGAATATGCAACATAGATCTTGAAAAGCCAAGAGAAAAGGTACCGCACAGATGATCAGGTGAAAAGGGGAAAAACGAAAGGGAGGTTATTCTGGTAGCAAAATATCTGACAGACTCACTGTGGTTACACTGCAGCAATTAAAGGCAGGGCAGGCAAAAATTGATTATATCAAAATGTGTAAGGACTTGGTAAGAATTTAAAGTGATGCAGAATGAGCAGAAAGATCAAAACTTTGCTGCTATAGACAAAGCAGCACCACAATATGTTTACTGCTTGGATGAAAGCCAAGCCAAAAGTGGCATTAAGAATATAAGACAACTAGGAAGATAACAGTGTCCAATCTGTTAAAAACGGTTTGAGGTGTAGAGGAACAAAAAGATCACAAGTTCCACTTCAACTGTATCGGATTTTAGTTGACAGTTGCCTCCTGTGATGTGACAGCCCAAGGTAACAGGGAGGTGGATTTGCTAAATCAGAAAGGCTCTTTCAGTCCTGCATCTCCCTATCAAGGGTGGGGAAAGTATCTTTAGACTTCTAAAAAAAATTGTGTAATAAGTTACAGAACCATAAAGGCGATAGAGCAGGGAGCCTTGAAGGATCCCCACAGAAATTTTGACATTAAAAACAGAGACTGCTGACTGAGCAACACCATCTATACATCATTTGTAGCACTACAAGATCTCACAGAAATAGATTAATGAGCAGAAGATAAAACTTCTAAAAAAACACAGTTGCACCAAGCATGTGAATTATTATAAAGGCTAACCACATCACTATATTATTTGAAAACTGAATTTGCTCTGATCTGTGTTCACATTCAGCCAGATAAATTTGCAATTAAACTGGCCAGATATTTCACAATACCATGAAGTTTGCATTCAGCTGAGTCTATCAGAATGGATAAGCAAGCCAAAAGGTCTGGATATTTGCTAAAACTCATGTAACCTCTTTCAGGCAGCCCTGAAGATCCCTACCTAGCACATCCACAAGTATACTGCACACAGGCAATAACATCCAATCATCTAGGCATAACAGTCAATTCTCTAAAAATATTAACTGAGTCAAAGACATCATTGATTAACTATCAAAATCCACTCTTTATCTGCCTTCTCTTTTTCTTCTTTACTTCATGTCATTCTCAAAAAAAAAAAAAAAAACACCCCGAAAAAAAAAAAGAGAAGCTTTGAAATGTTTACACATGATTAAAAAACCAAACCCACAGCCCACCAATTCTCTATTCTTAGGAGAGATAGAGAGCCGCAGAGCTGGGGGAAGAGTATCAGTGGTAAAGATTTAAGCATTTTTGTTTCTTTCAAAGAGTAATTACAAATTATGCAAAAACAAATACTATAAAGACTTAATTTTGTATTTATGACACTTTAAAGTTGCCTGTGACTTCAGTATTGAGATACATTTTAAACAATTTTTTTTCTCCCTGCCTGCTTCCCATGAAGGTAAATACCTTGTGAACCTTTTAAACACCAAAACTGTGTTGCACCTGAAGACACAAAATGTACACGAGCCAACTAAGTCAAAGATATGCTAGGGTTCAACCAGGGAGTCAAACTCTGGTTCAAACATACTGGTCAAACACAGTATGAGTGTTTCATTTTCTTAACTTGTTCTAAAAAGCAGGCACTGCAAAAGCATGTTGAAAGCTAAAAGGAAGCCCAAGGAAACAGCCGGTGTGCCAGTCCCCAAGAAAAGTACATCATTCTGAAAGGGCTTCAGTGATGCATGTGTTTTTTCCTCCAGCCTTCATTAACAGAAATGATCAAAGGACTGAAAGCAGCAATAAAGGGGTAAAACATACAGGCTGGAACAGGAAAAAAGGTTACAGACTATTTAAAGAAATCAGGTGTTTTGCAATGGACTGGACTTGTTAAAGTTAACCCTTCCAGTAATTTAAGAAAATTTGCAAGACAATTTGTGTTATTGGAGGTTCCCTTTGAGTACCCATGGAGAACAGGTAAAGTCCTGTAAAACTGAAAATGAGTGAAATGATGTCAATCTCAAGAGAAGGAGAAGGAGGAAGAGGAGAACAGAAGGCAGGAAATTAAGTAGCAGTCAGCCCAACTTTAATCTCAAGAAATGTCAAGTTACACTGAAAACATGTTTTAGCACCCAGCATCAAGCATGCAGAGAGCAATACCAAAGCAGAACAAACTTGCTTAGCTTTCCTCTGCATTACAGTAGCAGGTCTTGCTGATAAAGCAGAATTGTGATATATCTAAGGCATATTACAGACCACATAACATCCTTGTAAGCAAACTGGGCAAAATACAGATTTGATAAAATAATTTCAAGGTACACATGGAACTGATGTAAACCACAAGATACTTTTCTCCTTCCTTGCCAAACAGGAAAAAAACTACAGCATAAAAAAAGCACCAAAATTATCTGAACAATAAGCAAATCAACTGTAGGAGGTACAGCAATAGAGGTTAAGCAGCATTCCATGCAGACACCTGACAGTGGGTCCTATCTATTCAGTCTTCTCTAATCTTAGTCTAACTCCCCCATACTGTCACAGGAAAAGAATTGAGTTTTCTAATGTTACACATGATTGGGATACACAACTAGCAGTTATTTATAAAAGCTGCTTTGATATAAACGCCTGAAAATATCAGGATACAGAGGTGTTAAAAGCAGGTTTATGACTGCTTTGTCTAAGGGTTGCTATTAACAGTAGTATGAGCTATAGTGTGTGCTTTGGGAAGTATCCTTATGCAATACTTATCTTTGAATCAATTTCATCTGGAATGCATTTTTACAATAGAAAGGCATGTACTAGCAAATAACAGGTATCACGTAAGTGTGAATGTGATATTGTTTGATTAATTGTTGGGTATTTTACTTCAGCGTTTAAATGTTTACTCCCAGGAAGAAATTCTTTAATAAATAAGAAAAAAAAAAAAAATCCATGTAAGGAACAAGCATCTCCTTCAATCTCCTCCTCCAAAAAAACATCTTCTGTAACAAGAGAACATCTTTATTTCAATAGTTTGGCTGAACCCAGTGGCAAACCTCTTCTAAGCCCTCCATCTTAGTGGGAAGAAGAAACTATAAACTAATCACCTAAATCAGAAGTATAAACTACTTAAACTAATTATCTAAGTCAAAAGTTCGACATGCAATTTGCAAGAGAGACATTTTTAAGTGGTCTGATCTTACTGTGAGCTCAGAAACATGTATTTATTTCAGTTATCCAACAAAAGTTATGACCAAAATAACTGATTATCTGCCATTTATGGTGGAGATAGTTGACAGTTAACTATAATCATCCACTTTCACTAACTTTATACAAACAGTAAACCCCACAACTTGTCCCCAGTACACAAAGTTCTGCAGATCACACTAATAACCAATAATCTTTCAAAACTGAGCTTTTCCTGGCCTAATAATTCTAAAGTTAAAGTCTTATGCAAAAAGTGTTTTAATATACATACACAATAGGAACAATTTTAGTTTTGACTCTGCTATGAGCAAATGGCAACACCTCTAAATGCTACTGAAGAAATTCTGATCTTAAGGG